GGCGACAGAATCATGTTTTATTGTGTTTTCAAATTGATTTCGTACAAAAACAATTGTGTTTTTCCAGTTTTTGGCAGTCAGAACCATCACAAGGTAATTTTATGCAGTCTTGTGAAGTTTTGTTGAAATCAGTTGAAAAATGCAGGAAATCTGATCCAATATATAAACGTACAGATACACACACACACACGCACACACAATCTGCATTTTATAATAAGTAAGATGTTGAATGTGTTAAAACTCTTCAACTTTTTAACGAGAAAAATCTCAAGCTGATGTTAAAAATTACCACAAACATTGCTGATTTATTTAAGATGGAGTGATGTATTGTGACATGTCTCTAATTTAAGATGGAATGATCTATTATGACAGATCTCTAATTTGTATTTATATACATTGTATTTATTTTTAATTTTTCTAGTCGAAATGTTCACCTATATTGCATATGATCCATTATTGTACATAATTAGGTTACAATAAAATGTGTATTTTATATGAATAGTACCTTATGAAAATTGAGATGTATTAGAGTGTGAGGCTCCATATCATGGGTGCATGAGACCCTTGCACCAGCCGTGCTTATAGTTATATCCCACCGAAACACACTGAGTCTGTTCAATATCAAGATGGGAATACCAGGTGCTGTAAACTCGGATATGTATGTAGTATGATGGATAATGGCTTGAAATGAGAAAGCTGAGAGTCAAGTTCATTACCTTCACTTACATGCAAAATGGTCTTGGGAAAGGTATGAAGTCATCTCTTTTCTCCCCAGCTATGGGTTAAATAGCAGAGTAGACTAGCTTCTGTAGTTTTGTTTTGGCAACCATAGAAAGTAACCACAGGAAGTAACAGCAGCCAAATATAGGAATTCTGTCAAGTCACTCATAAATTGAAAAAGAGACATCATCACCTAAGCATGCACCATATGTAGCACCTAAGGTAGGATCCTTTCAGGATATGGCCAATGACGGATCCCACAGCTTCCTATCTTTTGTTGCTCTAACTTGTTATTACATATAATATTTGTTCTGCCATCCATTTATTCAAACTCATCAAGTAGTTTTCTTGCTCTTTTTCCCTGTTTCACTTGCCTTCAGTACATCAAATGAGTGTTGAATTCTCCAAACTTTCTTTCCTCATATGTCTCCAAAACTCAGCTGTCTCTTTTTGATTGTTAGCAGCAGCTTCTTTATATTTCCTATGCCCCTTAAAACTTCCTTGTTTTTCATAAAGTCTGTCTCTGTCATCACTTTTTTCATGTGATGAAATTATCCAAATAGCAGGACAGAGGGTGTCCTGTAACCTTAGTTGCTAACCAGTCTAGGGCAGCTTACTATGGGAATTCTCATGCAAAGTCAGTTTTGAATCAAGAAAAGACATGATGGTAATGAAATAAGCACATCCCATCTCCCCTCTCATTTGTAACCAACCATCACAATAAAATGAATGTTTTTCACCACTGAAGCTGAATGAATCAAATAAAACTTCATAAGTACAGAAATTTAAATATCTAGGAAGTGTTCTAACAGATGATGAAAAGTTCAACACTGAGGTCTGAAGATATATTAGGATGGCCAAAGGTGCATTCCAAAAGCTAAGCAGAGTATTAAGAGACGGAAAAACTTTGTTAGAAACAAAGAAAAGAGTACTGAACTGTTATGTGATATCTGTCCTCCTGTATGGCAGTGAATGCTGGACAATCTCATCAAAGATGAAGAAGAGACTTGAGGCAACAGAAATGTGGTTCTACAGAAGGATGCTGAGGATACCATGGACCAAATATGTGAGCAATGATGAAGTTTTAGAGAAAATGGAAACAAAAAGGAAACTTATACTTAACATCAGGAAGTGACAATTGAAATTTCAAAGGTACATAAGCCTGATACTCAAACTACAGATGTTGTGGGGTGGGGGAAGAGGGACAGAGGAAAGCAGTGGATCACATGCTTGATCAGCTTGAGTAAATGGATGTCAGAACAGGACTTAGGAGAAATAGCAAAAAAAGACAAAACTTATTAAGAGCTACAAGGGACAGGAACGTGTGGAGGGCCATAATCGCCTAAGTCCTAAAGGGACATGTTACATAAAAGAAGAAAAAAGATTTTACTTAGAGTTGTTACTACATTACAGAAAGAATCTTTATTTTAAGTCTTTTAGACAATCAACTTTCTCAAAAAATGTTTCCGTAAGTTTTCTTTTAATGATTTCGAATGAAATAATCTTGGTTTTCAGTCATAGACAATTTAAAATTAAAACATGTGGTAGACATGAGAAAATAAAAAATTAGATAATATACGAACCTCAGAAAATAAGGAGAGAATAAAATCTGGGCTTGGGAAAACATGGGTGACTTAATTGGGATACTAATGAGTATTAAATAGATATAGAACAAACATGTGTCAAATGAGTAAGTTTTAAGGAGAATAGGAAACACAATCAGAAAAAATGCCCTCTGGCAGGATTCAAACCTGCATAAGAAGATTTGCCGTCTGAGTACTTTAGACGACTTATTTACAGAGAACCTCCCAGCCAAACAAGGCTCTATTTGCCTGTCCTCAGTCTCTTTCCAATGGCTATAAAGTTACCTCCCTGTGCCTTTTTCATAAACACTTTCATGTTAATTGTTTGGATGAGCTCTTTGCTATAGTGCCCAGACTCTTTGAATTTAAGCACGCTACTAGAATGGTGATGAGGTCTCATAAATTTACAGTTGAGCTCGCTAGATGTAACAGTAAATTCTATGCTAACAGTTTCTTTTCTTGCACTTATCACTTATGGAACTCCCTATTGGCTCCATGCTTTCCAGCCAACTTTAATCTGCAAAAATTTAAATGCAATGTACTGTTCTCCTGATTACTATTCTTTTGTTTTTGCTCCTTAACAATGTTTCCGTTTCTAACTCTTCCACAATTAGTAACCTCACATGCATCAATGGCTTTACTGCCTTGTTTGGGGCAAAATTGATAAAAGAAAAAAAAAAATTCCCCTGATACAAGGTAATAAAGCCACTAAGATGCAAGGAGTTACTGAGTTTGAAAAAAATATGAGAAACAGAAAACATTATTAAGAAGAGAGAAGAATAAAAGAACAAGAATTAAGGAGACAAAAGATAACGATTGACATTGCATTTAAATTTCAGAAGATCAATGTCGACTGGGAAACAAGAAGCCAGAATGTTGATTTCCCAATGGGGAGGTAATGATTGTAAAAGTTTTCCCTCCTCCCCCTCATATAGTCAGAAGGACACAGAATGCATGCTGGGATATTTTTCTTAGCCAGTTTTGATATGACTCCATCCAGAGTGGCCTTCATTACTAGACAGACATACTGTATTCGCTTGGTCAACTTTGTTTTGTGTACAAAGACCAACTCCTAGTTTGTGAATTCTTTTGTCTTCTTATCAATTTTGATTTGCTTTGACTATATTGTTTGCTTGCTTGCATGATTTTTGCTGTTTTATCTTTTTGACCTTTTTTTTTTCCATTGCAAACTTTATTAAATCTGAGCGTATTATTTATCTTGCACTTTAACAATGGCTTCTAACTCATCGCATTTCTAATTAAGTAGTTTGCATTTTGGTGTAACAGGAAAACTGTCCAAATCGTGTAACAGCAAAATTGTGTAATTCATAAATTAAGTTTTGAACCGTTGTATCTTAGAAATGAGTTAAGATGTTGTTGATTTTGCAAAGTGTGGGGAATGATTGCAAAAGTTTTCCCACTCCCCCACTTATTGCCAAAGGTACACAGAATGGATGCTGGGATATTTTCCTTAGCCAATAAAATGAGACAGCTTACGTTTTGACATGACTCCTTTCAGATTTGCCTTAATTACTAGACAGACTGTTGTGTCGGAAAACTACCACCCCTCTGGAAGATGAACTTGTCTGTGAACAAAGACTTTAAATAGTGGCATGTCAGTTGACATGGAAGAGAGATAGACAGATAAGTTATTAGCTGAGCTAGTTATTGACTATTCAGGCAATTTCTGTACCTTTTTACCAACCTATTAAAACCCTTTTTATTGTTACGTTTTATTTGGCGTTTGTCTCTACTAACCCCAAATCAACATCATAACACAGACCTACTGCATTCGCTTGTACAACCTTGCTTTTGTGTACAAACACCAACTCCTAGTTTGTAAATTCTTTTGTCTTCTTACCTGTTTGATTTGCTTTAACTATATTGTTGGCTTCCTTGCATAATTTTTGCTGTTTTATCTTTTTTGACCTTTTTTCTTTTCATTACAAACTTTATTAATTCTGATTGTGTTATTTATTTTGCACTTTGACAATGACTTCTAACTCATCAAGTTATTTGCCAAGGAATAGGCTTTGTTTTAATTGTGATGAATCAAAAGTTTTTGGGTTACATGCGGATCCAAAAATTATACAAAATAATTTTGGCCCCTTTTGATTGTCCTGATGATGAAGACTATCATGAAAAGAATGCAAACGTGTTTGCTGAATTAATTCACTTTCTCAATGATCAAAGTTTTTTTCTTATCATGAGAGGAACTCCTGATGATGGGAGAAAAGCACTGCAAATTTTGTGAGAGCAGTATTTATCAAAAGGAAAGCCAAAAATAATTTCTCACAAGTGAGAAATGTAAGAGAAGAATCGAGCCATTTCAAACATCACTTCATTCAGATTTTTTTTCTTGTAAACCATATCTGTTTAGTTTCATATCCAAAATGCAAACAAAGAAATTTTTGAAAAATTAATGGATATTTATATATTTATAAGTTTTCTTGAATGGACAGGCTGGTAGACAAAATAAACACTATTTAAAAATGGGTCGTTCTACTCAAATACTGATATCCACTAAAAACAACATTTGAAGTAATAAAAAATATTTCAGATTAAAAATAAATATCCATTAATTCTTGAGAAACAACCAGAAAGATAGAGCTGGAAATCTGTGGACACATAATAAGGAAAGAAAGCTTGGTTTATTTTGTTTCATTTTATGGCATAGCAACCTCAATGGGTTATTTAATGCCGACAAGATTTTTATTGCTGGTCATACTTTTTATCTATCTATCTATCTATCTCAGTCTATTTTCTATCTATCTATCTATCTATCTATCTATCTATCTATCTATCTATCTCAGTCTATTTCTTTTTCTATCTATCTATCTATCTATCTATCTATCTATCTATCTATCTATTTCTTTCTTTCTTTCTTTCTATCTCTATCTATCTATCTATCTATCTATCTATCTATCTCAGTCTATTTCTTTCTTTCTATCTATCTATCTATCTATCTATCTATCTATCTCAGTCTATTTCTTTCTTTCTTTCTATCTATCTATCTATCTATCTATCTATCTATCTATCTATCTATCTCAGTCTATTTCTTTCTATCTATCTATCTATCTATCTCAGTATACATTGGTTTAGTTTGGTTTGTTTTACGGCATATCAATGTCAATGGGTTATTTAATGCCGACAAGATTTTTATTGCTGTCATACTTTTTATCTATCTATCTATCTATCTATATATCTATCTAGCTATCTATCTCAGTATATATTGGTTTGGTTTGGTTTGTTTTGCAGTATATCAACCTCAATGGGTTATTTAATGCTGACAAGATTTTTATTGCTGATAATTTTTTTTTCAAAAATTTATTAATGGTAATAATTTTTTACAAAGTATTTCTGGTATTAAAACATATTTTTACACTTTCATAATGTTTTGACCCCAGTTGGGGTGTTAACTATTTGCCCATAGCTGGGACCCTAATAGGTGCTACCATCCTGGGTAAGGATGAACCTGGGAACACCAGCAATTAAAAGGTAGTTCCACACTCCTCAAAACCTTCTGATCAGAGGCCTTGCTGTTGAACATAGTTTATCATCATACCCAGGACGTGGATGTAGTTTATAGTCATCCTCAGGATGGGAAAGAAAGCTTGGAGAATTTAAGACACACAGGGTGCACAAAAACAAGAAAACCAATAACCTACTTGACAATTTTGAGCAAATGAATCGAGGAACAAGTACCATGCATACAAGGAGGTAACAAAGAATTAAGTATTACTGAGAGTAACAAAGAACAAGAAGCTGTGGAGAAGCATGACTGCTCATGCACATAGCACATAAAAAGAGACAGTGAATCTAGTTGACAAGTTTGAAAAAATAAATGAAGGAACAAGTACCACAAAGACAAAGATGAGTCTTATAGAAGCAAGTATCACTGAGAGAAACAAAAGGCAAGAAGTTGTGGTGAGCCATGATTGCTCAAAGAGCCATGGCATATCAAGAGTGGTCATATAACTGAAGATATAAGAAAAAAAAGTTATCATGAAAACAAACAGAATTTTGGCACTTTTGGGCAAAAGGCATGAAACTACATTCCCTACTCTCTCTCTCTCTTTCTCTCTCTCTCTCTCTCAGATATCTTAAAATGACTTGTCTGGTATGCCACAATAGTTGAGAGAGAAGAGAGAGAAAGTTAGCACTTAGACAAACCGCTCATCCATAACTCTCTTTCTACCTTGGTAGTAAAAATTGTTACACCTCTTGTCAACCTTGACAGATACTGTCAGAATAAACACAACTGATTCAGGTAAATAGGCTATCATTATAAGTTTGCTTGCATTTGTCTACTTTTAAAAATATTTTATCTCAGATATCAAGAAAAATCAAATTGGAAGAGAAAACTTTTAATGATTTTGGCAGCCATTTCAATCAAAGGTAATCTAACCTGTTTGCACACACATGGAACCCGACCCAAACCAACAAAACACAATTGAAAACATTAGAAGAAATATATTTATTTGGTATGAACATAACATTTTAGTGAATCAATCTCCGTTGATATTTCAACTTATCTGTTGTTCAATCTTTCTGTTCATATCTGTCTGTCTATCTATCTATCTATCTATCTATCTATCTATCTATCTATCTATCTACTTCAGTCTATTCATTATCTGTCTGTCTGTCTGTTTATCTATCTCATTCTGTTCATATATATGTCATTCTATTTATATCTATCAATATACATGTAATATATATCAACCTGTTCATATTTGCTTATATCTATGTCAGTCTGTTCATAACTATCTATCTTCACACACACACATACACTCACACATACTATATATCAAACCATTTATATGTTTTATATTTTCTATCTATCTATCTAACTAGCTATCTCATTCTGTTCATATTACTTATAGCTATCTATCCACCCACACACATGTAATATATATCAACCTGTTCATATCTGTTTTATATTTCATATCTGTTTATCTATATCATTTTATTCATATCTATCTGTCTGTCTCAGCGTGTTCATATCTATCTATCTATTTATCTATCTATCTCATTCTACATTATTTACATTATTCGGACTATTGTCCTCATCTTTGTCGCCATATTTATCACGACGTTTCATCCGTTGTATGCTCTGGCCTTCTTCAGGTGGTTGGAATGTTGAACTGAACCCTTTATTTCGATCACTGGGGTAGACTGTTCTAGTTCCTCGTGCCATGTTTGTTGGATGTCAGTTATCAGTTATCTCCTGTTTATTTCCCTCTGAAAGTTCTCCACTGCCTTAACTGGGTATTGAACTCACACTCTTTGGGTCCTGTCACTGGATCTAACCAACGCCTTTATCCACTGTGCCATGGCAACAAAGATGAGGACAATAGTCCGAATAATGTAAATAATGTACATAATACCTCATCTCAGAAAATATAGACAGACTCTATCTCATTCTGTTTGTATCTATATCAGTCTGTTCATAGCTATCTATTTGCACACACACATACACACATACCCATATAATATATATATTAACCAGTTCATATCTCTTTTAGATTTCATATCTATCTATCTATCTATCTATCTATCTATCTATCTATCTATCTATCTATCTATCTGTCTGTCTCAGCCTGTTCTGTTCAGTTTTTTGTTTCATATAAAAAACATTTTTGTTGTCTATACCAGGTCATATGCAGAAAGTTAAGATCAACAATAAAGTGAGGATGCGAATCTGAAAGAATAATTGAGTCACAGTCGCAATGCCTTGTCTAAAACAAAAATATCATTGAAACAAGAAGCAATATTTTTGTTACATTTTTCGTGCTACAATTCATGGGTGAAATATTAGAACTGAAATCAACATATTTATCTGAGAGGGCAAACACTTACATCAAACAATGCCATGCCATCATATTGAATTAGATTTATTGAAGTCTGACAGAAACATCTATATTCTTAAAAGAGAATTGTCCATTTTACAAAGCATAAAACTGGTCTGTTATTGAAAGTGTATCATCTCAGAGATAATTGATCATTATTGCATATCAATCAGGTTAATTCTACTAACCTGGTTAGTCATTATCTGAACCAAGTTGCTCATCATAGGGTCTGTCTTTAACATTATAATTTAGAAGTACCAATCCATTTAATAATTTATTTTAAAAATAGTGCTTTTGTTTGACCAGCAGGTTCTTTGTATCTGAAAGATCAAACATGCCAGAACTAATGAGAGTTTCCCCTAGAGAACACAGGTTCAAATCCTGCTGGAGGGAACATATTTTTGTAACTAGATTTCTTGAATATTCAGGCCATTAGATGGACATAAATAGATATACTGTTTCATACATAAATAAAAACGGCACATCTACTCAAATATGGTAATTTATTAACAATAATGTTTAACCAATAATAAATATATATATATATATATATATATATATATATATATATATATATATATGTGTGTGTGTGTGTGTGTGTGTAAAAATATATAGAAAATAGGAAAGAACTTGTTAGGTAAATAATCCAAAGTTCTTTAGTATTTTTGTTATTATTTTAAAAAAAATAGTGCTCGATACAAAAGTAGAGCATAAATATAATTATTTATTTAAAAATATGATTCCAACACGCTACATAAGAGTTCTCATGTTTCAAAACAAGAGCTGAAAACTTCAATATAATTATTTGAATTAAAGTACTAAGCTCTGTTCCATCTTCAAGCGAAATTTTTTTTGAATAACTTATATATGTGTGTGTGTGTATATATATATATATATATATATATATAGGGTGCAATGGGTAAATTGTTATCATTTTATATTTTTTATTTCGTGCATAAGCATTGTTTGTTTCTGATTATGTTGACTGCACAGTATAGTAGGGTCAGTTGGGCACCATCTGTGAGAAAAAGAGCACCAAGATACAATTCACTCCACCAGAAATTTGGAAATGGCATGCTGTACTGATTGGTGTTCGCACTGGAAGCTCCAATATGAACATTTAAGAGTGCTTGGATGTCAGTCTGAGGACATTGTAAATGATTTGGAAAGAGTTGAATGAGTCTAATGGTGAATACAGAGGTGCTCGGAGTCATCGCTAGTGATGGCGATGTTATGCCTCGATTCATCTTCCCACAGAGCTCCAGATTCAACATGAAGGCTTACATCAAATGCATTGAGGAGGTAATGCTGCTCTAGGTCAGACAATTTCTGTAACCACATCACTCCTTACATCTAGTCACCTAACTCCCCTGACTGCAACCCCCTTGATTATTATGTGTGGGGTGCATTTGAGTGAGAGAACAACAAAACTCCTTGTAACACCAAAGATGAACTGAAGGCAAGGATTATGGTAGCATTTACCAACTTAAACAAGGAGACTGTTCAGAAGAGTTGCAGGAGATTCCAAAGTCATCTGGAGGCCGTGGTTGAATGATTTCATTGAATAAATTTAGTTTTTAGTACTTCAAGATATTTTGTGTAATTTTGGTGAATACACCTATTATAATTTAAGCCTTCACACCCTGTATATATGAATATATTATTTTATTTTGTCTATATTTCTGAGATGAGGTATTGTAACTATTTATAATACGTTGTGTGGACTGTTGTCCTCATCTTTAGTGTCATATTTACAATGGCCATTGTACACTCCAACCATTGTATGCTCTGGCCTTCTTCAGGTGATATACATTGGAATAGATTGTTCTAGTTCAACATGCCATGTCTCTTCAAGACATCTTTTTGTAATTTTGGTAAATATATCTGTTAAAATGAGATGCCAGTGTTATTTTCCTGTTTATGTAATTTAGACGACAATTTATCCATCGCGCGCGCGCACACACACACACACACACACTCGCGCACACACGCACACACACACATATATATTTAATTAATTTTCTATTAAGTTTTTCCAGCAATCTAACTTCTTCCATTTTTCTGTGGTTAAATAATATAGGAATTGTCCATAGTTATACTTGTTCCAAGCGCTTTCGGCGACTTCTTTAGCCATTATCAAGGATCTGTTTTTGTATGGTGAAATTCTGTGTCTGGCTGCTATATTAATTTTACAGTGTGGAGTTTGAGTACTCTTTCGGGGAATGTTTTTATTGGTTAGAAGTCTCCCGGTGCAAATTATATTCTCTGAGTAAACACAAATCCCTGTTTAATCCCTCAATGTGTGAATTTATTTTGAAAATAAATTTCAACTCTGATCTCTGTTTTTCTTGTTGGCTATTGAATGAAGATGCTAAAAGCACACATCTGATGTCATAAATGCTATGAAATGGTTGGTTGAAGTTAACAGTGACAGGTGATTGTTTGTTGTCCCTGATGTTTTTTTTTTATAGTTTTTGAACTGAAAATGGAATTCTGTTCCAGTTTCTACAACATAATTTACTTTTCTGCATTTGTGGCAGAAAAAAACAAATATATAAAATTTGAAGTGTCCTAATTCAGAGCTGGTGGTTTGAATAGTACATGAGTGCCAGGGGGTGGGAAATTGCTATCAGTGATGATAAGCCTACAGATTTGTCATCAGGGTTTATTGCAGGTGTTATTCTCTTGGTGATGTGGTAAATCATATGTGCATGTAGATTGGGGGGGTTGGTGCTTAGCATGAAGTAGGTTCTCACTGAATATTTTTCTAATTGCTTGGTCAAGTTTTAAATACTGGAAATCTTTTATTAAGATACATGAAATCTTGTGAATATTGTAATTAAAATAATAAAAAAAAACAATGGGAATTCTGGAATTATTCTTTTTTGTTTTATAATTTAGAAGATTATTTCTATTTTGTTTGGAAGCCGAAGTGATTTATTTTTTGGTAGTTTTAAGTAAGTAATTCCTATTGAAATAGTAACTGAATAGTTGTCCTATGTATTTTTGTAATCCCCATTTTGTGAACAGATACATTATATGCATAAACATTATTGATTTTTTTTAGGTTGGTGGGGTGGCAGCTATTAAAATTTAGGTAGCAATTACAATCTGCGGTTTGGTGCATAGTATAGTGAAGATGTGGTTATTTTATTATTTAGATGTACCAGAAAATCCAGAAACAGAATACAAGTGGTGGAATATTCCATTGTGAATTTGATGTTGCGGTGGAAACTACTGAGGTGTTGATCAAGGTCTCAGAGTCTCTACGTGTCCATATAAAGAAGATATCATCTATGTATGTATCTGTAGTAGTGCAGGGGTTCTAGATGGTATCTACTCAACATATCTCATTCCAGGGCATCTATGAATATGTTCACATAGCTGGGAGCCATTTTTGTTCCCATCATTGTGCCTCTGACTTGAAGAAAATGGTGCCCATTGAACTCAAAGTTGTTGTGTGTAAGTATGAATTGTATAATGCAGGAATTTTTCTCCTGATGATGGCCATGCTGGCCGAAACTAGTTGAGGAACCTAACTGAAATAATAAAAAAAATATTAATATACAACCTAGCATGTGTGAAATTTCAATTTTTTGACATTTTTTTATTGTCCAAGAAACATACACACACATATATATGTGTGTGTGTGTGTGTGTGTGTGTGTGTGTGTGTGTGTGTGTGTAAATACAGTAGTGAATACTGTACATGGTCTAGAGTTGGAGATTCATTGTGGAATTCACTTGACTCCTAGTGGTTGATTACTTCTTCTATGTGCCACTGGCAAATCTTATGTGTAGTTCTTGTCCTAAGTATTATCATTCATAACCAACCTTAATTTGATTATTCTATTCAGTAACCTTTACTAGGTTACAACACACACACACGCACACACACACATACATATATATATATATATATACATGATCCTAAGTAGAAAAGTGTAACAATTGTACACACAAATAAGGAGCATAATAGCATATATCAGAAGGGCCAGTGATTGAGCAGATACTACACCCTGATTCTAGGTAGAAAAGTGTAAGTCATAAATAAAACCAAACTGATTAACAGTATAGATTGCAAGGGTCAGTTTGGTTGGTTGATTTTGTTTAGCAGCATGTCAACCTCTATGGGTTACTTAACGGCGAAATGTAAATATTTTAAACATAGGTTTATGGCTTCAACCACAGATAAAATTTATTGTTGGTTATTTTGCTGTAAAATTTATCGTTGGTAATTGTGTTTTAAAAATATATTGTTGGTAATTTTACTATAAATAGGTAATTGTTGGTAATTTTTTATATAAAAATGTATTGCTGGTATTTTTACTATAAAATGTATTTTTATATTTTCACTAGCAGCATGGCCCAGCGTTGCCTGTGCTTGATTAAAAAATCGTACGACTCATACAGCAATTGCTATCACTTGACTTAAAATATTTTTGCCCTTCCTTGCCTTTAAAGAAGTGCCCTTTGCCATGCTGATGTTGCTACATGCCTTACTTTTTGCCTATCTCACACTGCGAATTTTTTCTAAGCTCTATACTAAACATAAAATCTGTTACGAAAAAAGAACTAAACAAAATGAACACAAAACGATCAGCTTTAAAAAAGGACTCGTGACTGGAAAAACCAAATGAAAAAAGAATGTTAACAACAAATACTTTTTCACACCCAAGCCAGTTCTGCAGAATCAGAATCAACGTTGAGTTTAAGCAAGCGAATGAGCCAATTGGAGTAAGGTGCCATGCAGATTTAAATTTTTCTCACTTGTGACGAATGCAGCTATCGATTTTTTTGCATGCTAGTATGCTAGTTAACATTCA